TCAGATTTTCACTAGTACCTACGTATGTTGTGTAGGTATTACCAATAGGTAATTACTAACATATTACTATATTAGTCGAAAACGATTTTATTATCGATCGATGGGTAGGCATACCCACGGAAGTTGAAAATAACTRGGATASATAGGAAAMCAGAATTTTATCTACAACGATTGCACTAAATTGTGATTAACTGTTATTGTATGTACCTATGCTGTAAACATCCACACTTTTGTATTTTTTTTTACTCCGTCTAGAGATCTCTTCAAATTTTTCCTCATCGCCCTGGATCCTTTCATAAAAATAATAATAATATATATATATATATAATATACACCTACCTTATAATTTCGAAAACCGTTCGATCGACAAAATACTAAATAATCATTGTGTGAAGACCGCAACCAAGAAGATGAAACAATTAAGCATTAAAATTATAATATTAAATATAACAAATCTCTGATGACAATCAACATAAAGCAATCACATATTATATAAATGGACAAATAAATATATTCGAATATAATCGAATTCTGGTCACAACAGTTACAGAAGTTTTTGAAATATTATAAATCTTACCATTTTTACCCTATCCCAAAAATTTTCCTCTCAAAAAATATATATGTTATTCCTTTTTACCTTTCCACACTCCAAACACTAAATATACCTACGTAATACAACTAGTAATTTTTAATTTAATATTATAATTGTGTATATTACATTGCATAGTTTTAAATTTAAAATATGAGAACATATTTTTTTTAATAACATAAGGGAGTGTTGTATGTGGCATGTGCCAATTAATGATAATAGATAAATATTAGGTACTTCTTTTAGCTAAATGTTTAAATTGCGTAATTTTAGGCCAACGAAGCAAATGAGCTGAGGCAGCACTTTGTAAAATAATATTTAAGGACGTAAGCACCGCAGTAGAGGGACAGTGCGGGTTTCGAGTGAGAGACGAGATAATATGTTTGTAAGCGATTCATAAAGACCCGTATTTTTGTGTGTTTGTTTTGTGTATAATAAAGTTATTCAAAAGAGTATTAAGTGTTCATCGATTTTTTGTGTACCATCGAGAGATAGATATACTACTATATGGAATCTGTATTGAGTTTCGTTAAGAATTATGTGGTGTTAATATATGTTCAGTACACGTCCTAGAGTTTTATACACACATATACATAATGGTAGCTCGATTTATCGAATCAGAACGTGGAAGTCCTCTTTTAGTATTAGACAATTTTAAATTCCTTAAAGTAGATAGGCCTTGATTTCTGAGTTCACAAAATGGTGATGTATAAATTATAACTTGCAATTTCCGATTTGTAAGGAAAAGCTACAGAAGCTGAAAATCATAGTGTTATTTCGACAACTTATCGTGTATACAGACACAAAAAAAAAAACATACATACAACATTGTAAGATTAATACATTCATCACTCTGCTCAGGATCTAATACATTTTTATGCAAAATATAATTAGAAAATATAAAATAATAAAATATCTATCGATGATTATATACAGAACGTGGCACATTATTTTGGGAATTTTTACAAAAAAAAAGTCAGGTCATACTTTGTCTATTTCTACAGCATTAATTATTTTGTAAATTATAATATTCATATTTATACTTAATATTAAAATATACGTTATACGTTATACAATATACATAATATGTATATTATTTTCAGTATCACATCTTTTATAATGATGTCTTATAGTAGTATTGACAAAACTGATATTTATGATTTACTGATATACTTTTTACCTCCTTGAAGAACTTATCCGACATCGCAATTAACACTCTACTTGCAATTTATAACCTAATCTAGAACAATGGAATTTTTCCTAACCAATGGAGGCATGCATCCGTAATCCATATACCAAAACCAGGAAAAGATAAATTCAATATTCACAGCTACCGTCCAATATCGCTTATTAGTACTCTTAGCGAAGTACTCRATGAAATGATAAATAAACGCTTAGTATGGTTTCTCGAAACGAAGAAAAAATTCACAAAACAACAATGTGGCTTTCGCAAAAACCATTCAACTCAAGATATCTTATCTACACTTCACACAGACATAACCGAAGCAATAATAAGAAAACAACACCTAATCCTAATCGCTCTAGACATAGAAAAGGCCTACATGGTATGAAAAAAATGTATTATCCTCCATCCAAAAATGGAATATTACACGAAACATGCTAAATTTCCTTCACAATTTTCTTCTTGATCGAAATATCCAGGTAAAACTAGAGAATGTGCTCTCTAAACATTTAGACATTGAGAATGGAATACCCCTAGGAGCATCAATAAGTGTTACATTATTAAAATGACATATTTGATAACATACAGCCTCATATAAAAAGTACATTTTTGCCGACGACTGCAATATTTATTGCAGAGGTGAGAATATCAAAACTACAGTAGCTCTCCTTCAAACCACGCTAAAAACCCTATCACACTGGTCTCCAGTCACAGGCCTCAAGTTTTCAGCCAAAACGCCCAAAACCCATAGCATAATTTTTAATCATAAAAAAAAATGAAACACTCCATCATCTATACTTATTACTTAAACAACTCTAAAATCAAACAATCCGCATACTCGGGATGACCTTTGACAGCAAACTCTCATGGGTGCCTCACCTCAAAAATCTCAAAACTGAATGTAAGAACAGAATGAWAGTCATCAAAACGTTGTCTCACAATACATGGGGCTCAGAAAAGCCTGTCAGAAACAGCCTTCTCACCATATACAAATTGCTCATCTTATCCAAAATMAACTAGGGTTCATTAATCTACTACTCAGACAACTCCAACATTTCCTACTCGAACTATCCAACCTATTCATAATGAAGGAATCAGATTTTCCATAGCTTTCTGCACCAGTCTAGTTCCTAGTATTCTTTGTATCGCAGGTGAGTCTCCTCTACAGATTSAAAGAAATAAAGAAGTCTTAAAATATGCTGCAAGAAAAAAAAAACCTTGAACACCAAATAACATCACAAATAATCACCTCCTCTCCTAGCCTCAGTATATCAATGAACCGTAAAAAAATTATAGATGCATACATCAAACTATGTAATAATTCAAATTACCTTATCAACGCAGACATTGAGACATCTTCTCTGTTTACAACAACCCCCCTTCTGGCAATGTTCTCCTAAAATTAACACGCAGTTTCTTCATTCTAAAAAGAACAGCACTCCAAGTGCCACAGTCACAGCAATCTTTAAYGAAACTTTACACACCGAATTCCAAGATTTCAACATATTTTCACTGATACTTCCAAAACCAGTGTGGGAGTAGGATTTGCATACTACACAAACCATACTTCAAAATGCTTCGAACTACTCCCTGAAGCCAGTTTTCTTCACTGTGGAAACTTGAGCCCTCAAAGAAGCATTATTATTTGTAAAACTTCCGCAAATAAAATTCTAATAATCAGGAACTCCCTACGCGCCYTTCTAGCCATTGAAGCACCTAACCCCTCTAATGAGATAATTTATCAAATATGCACTGGCAAACGAGGCAATCACCTCAACCTCGTCCTCATCCATTACTACTTTTCCATACCAAGATATAAACATGACTCGGCCATAACTTATAACTCATAAGTATGAATATCTTCAAATGTCTAGCACACAAATCATGGGGAAGTAACTCTTRTAGTCTATTACAAATATATTAAGCACTAATTCTATCTAAATTCAAATATATTTATTTCTATTTATAGATTCTAAGACATCAGCCCTTAAAATGATTAATACTGCACACAATACGGGACTAATGCTTGTCATCGGAGCCTATAGCTCCATCCCTATTCCCAGCGTCCTTAATACAGTTGTACAGCGTTGCTCCATTCGACATAAGAAGACTTCATAGCTCCACGTTACTTGCAACTAGACGCTTTCAAAATAGCTTTAAGGCATTGAAACAGACGACAGATGCACTAAAAAACTCCCATTCCTAAATATGGACGTTATCAAAAACGAAATTATACAGACGCCTCCTTGGTGATTAAAAAACTACATCAACAGTGAATCAAGTAAATTTTCGAAGGAAGACACTTTGATGAAGCGAGAATACCTACCAATATGTACCATTTGTGGTACACTCCTATCAATCATATACATTGTATCCGAATACCGTTTCTATGAAACGGACAAACGAGAAGTYGGGGTATCAAATATCATGTCGGAAGCTCTCCATCTAGATACCATAATTCACATGATGACCTTTTTAATTAAACCTTATCTTATAAATAATTTGTAATACAAGTAAATATATATAATATATAGTAAATAAAACAAAAACATTTGATAAAGGTACATACTAAATTATATTTTAATGATTTTACTTAACTATATTGTCGCCGCCGCGACAATTTGATAGTAGCGCTCATTAATGAGTAGTAATTACTATAGATATCTCGCCGCCAACCCACACACACACACAAGATATCTCAATTTATTTTTGTGTTATTGTTTCTGTTTTAATTATCGTGTATTATATAATATGTAGATTACGTGCGATCGGCCGCCGCTGTTAAGCGAATTTAGTTAGCACGGCCGCCCAACCAAGTTAATCCAGTTCCAGTGTGTAAATGATAAGCACAACAGTTTTCTTATGCTACTCGCGCAAATCGCSGTAAAAATATTATATTTTTTGTGTCGGCACGAATCACCACATTTTTTTGTATATTTTTATATTGTGTAAGGTGCTAATCGCCATCCTTTTATATTTTGTGTGGGCGCGAATCACCACATTTATTTTTTATTATTACCTTTGTGTGAGCGCGAATCGYCACATTTATATATTTTGTGTGGGCGCGAATCGCCACATTTATTATATTATATTTTGTGTGGGCGMGAATCGCCACTTTTTTATAATTGTGTGGGCGCGAATCGCTAGGGTAAGGGTGCACTCACTCGTACATTGAAATTTATCAATAGCTTTGATCCAAAGACTGAGGCCTTGTCATTGTTAGAGTTTATGCAAGAGGAGTTAGCACAAATAAATAGGAAATTTGACAATGTACAGTCAGAAATAGAACTAYTCAATACCGAGTATCCGTCGGAGGAAGAGAAGGAAAGAGAAGAGTTTAAAAAAAACTATTTTGCCGCACATTCTAGGATTCAGGAAACTATAACTAACGAAAGGCGTCATAATTCTTCAGGTCATGATACCTCACATAACTCGAAWACGTCAGCAACCCAGTCACGGATACAATTAYCACCCATAAAAATTCCRGAGTTCGGCGGGAACATTCAAGATTGGGAAYCCTTTTTCGACTCCTTCCGATCTGCAATACACGAGGAAAATAGTTTTACATCGGCTCACAAATTTTACTACCTCAGATCATATCTTACTGGTGCAGCTCTAGGTCTAATCAAGGCGGTTCCCATGACGGATGCTAACTATTATGTGGCGATTGAACGGCTTAAGCAGAGATATGATAATAAGAGCCTAACCATACAGTCTCACATCAAATCATTATTAGAATCTCCACACGTAGAAAATGCAACAGCAGCCGAGCTTCAACAACTACATTCACATGTATGCACGCATATTGCAGCTTTAAAGGCATTAGATCAACCTGTGGATAAATGGGATGCCTGACTAATTACTAWCATCAGCATGAGACTAGACAAGGACACATTACATAGATGGCAACTACATCAGAGGAATAMTCAACTTCCAAGATGTGTAGATCTAGAAGAATTTCTTGCAGGCCGCTGTGTGGCAATGAAAACCAATGTTGTTCCAAACGGGAGGGAACCATCAATAATTCTGTACCTCATACAAAACCAAGGGGATACAAGATCAATAACAACCCTGCAAAATTGACACTATTAACCAACAAAAACGACCGTGACAACAAGTATACCCACTGCTCGGGTAAGCTTTGGTTATTTTTCTGTGACTCATTCAAGGAGTTAGATGTCAATAGTCGCTTGGCAATTGTAAGAGACGCAAAACTGTGCTTCAACTGTCTATCACCATACCACTCAAAGGATTATTKTAAATCAAAATATAGTTGTCAAACATGTAAGGGCAGGCACAGCACCCTACTCCATCAAGAGAAGAAATCAGGAGCAACAAGACAGAAGGAGGATGATCTTCCGAACTCATCAAATGAAGATACTTCGYCGAACAACGGTCAGAAAGTGTCCATGCCTGTAATATGTGGTAGAACTGTTGTCAGAAAATGTTAACAACAGTGCCATGAATGTGTGTGTGTGAGACTAGTAACACACATTATCAAAAAATGTCGAATAATTAAATAAATATAAAATTATTATAATATCTTCAGTGTTCTATATTATTCAGTATAATATATTTTATATACGACAAATATAAAACATGGCGCAGTCGATGAACCTGAAATAAACAAGGTAACAWTCGTAACAATTACGAATTCGAGGATTATAACGGATAAMGATTATGRAGTACAACAAGCCGTCATATTTGAAGTTCACTGGTAATCTTCATGAAAATTTCAAACAGTTTAAACAGGAATTTGAGGTATATTTTACAGCAACCGAAACATACGATAAGGACCAAAAAGTTCAAGTGGCCAGATTGTTAAATTTAATAGGAGCAGATGGACTTAAATTGTATAACACGTTCAAATTAGAAACAATAAYGGTTAGTGAAATTTTTAAAAGTCTGGAAGAATATTGCGTACCTAAAAAAAATGAAGTGATGGGGCATTATAAGTTTTTTTATGAGAAAACAAAGTGAAATTGAGACATTCGATAAGTATTATGCGGACTTGAGAGAACTAATTAAATCATGTTCTTTTAATGACACAGAAGAAGCACTGTTACGAACACAAATTGTACTTGGAATATGTGACAAGGACCTTCAAGCAAGACTGTTGAGAGAAGATTTACCATTGGACAAGGTGGTGAAATACTGACAATCAACTGAACAGGGTGAAATAAATCGCAAGCTGATTATTCATGAAAATGAGAATAAAATAGATATTGTGGAACAGGAAAGAAAATTTACAACAAAGAAAACTATGGGAAAGTGGCAACAACAAGAAAAATTTAATCTACAAGCAGGAAACACACAGTTACAGGAGGATCAGAAGTCACAGGATACAGGTAGTAATAAATTTAATTGTATAAATGTGGTAGGATGCATGGACTTAAAGAATGTCCAGCATATGGTAAAATTTGTAATATATGTTCAAAAAATAAATCATTTTTCTGTAAAATGTAGAAATAAAAAAGTGAGCAGTAAACAAGTAAATGAATTGAAAATAGAGAATGAAAAAGAAAGTACATTCTTGTCTTTAGACTCAGTAGAAATAGCTAAAAACGGCATGTGGACAGATCTAATAATAGTGGAAAATAAAGAAATGTTAGTGAAATTGGATACAGGTGCACAACTAAATGTAATGCCTTATAAATATTTTAAAGAAATGAACAAAAAATTGGAAGAAACTTCAGTAATAATAAAATCATTTGGGGGTTTTCAAATTAAATCTTTAGGAAGAGTGAGAGTGACTGTAAAAAATAAAGATACTGAAATTGAAACTAACTTTGAAGTGATTGTGTGATTGAATATGATGATTTGCCTATACTAGGATTAAAAGATTGTATAAAAATGAATTATAATTTGTTGCAAATAAATGAAATAAATAATGATGTTGAAGATATGGAAATATTTATAAAAAATAATGCAGATGGGTTCACAGGACTAGGTAGTTTTCCTGAGAGTATATCAATTAAATTAGTAGATAATGCAGTACCTAAATCGTGTCCACCAAGAAGAGTACCGTTTAAAATTATTGAAAAGTTGAAAGAAACATTAGAAGCAATGTGCAAATTGAATGTAATTGAAAAATGTGAACAACCAAGTGASTGGCAAAGTAATATGATAGTTATAGAAAAGCCGGATAAGAGTATAAGAGTATGCCTAGATCCAAGAGAAATCAATAAATATATTGTTCGTGAGAGATATGAAATTCCAACAATAGAACAGATTAAACTTAATTTAATGGGAAAGAAATACTTTACAGTTCTAGATCTGAAAGATGGATTTTATCARTGTAGATTGGATGAGGCGTCACAAAAATATTGTTGTTTTAGTACACCATTTGGATGTTTTAAATTTCTTAGACTACCATTTGGGTTAACTTTAGCCCCAGAAAAATTTCAGGAGTTAACTAGTAAACATTTTGGAGGAATAAAAAATGTAAATGTGTATATTGATGACATATTGATAGCAGGTAGTACTAAAGTGGAGCATGATGCAACATTAGAAAATGTAGTTAAAAGAGCTAGAGAGAATAATATTAAATTTAATCCGAAAAAAGTACAATTTATGAGGAGAAAAGTTATGTTTCTTGGTTTTATCTTTGGAAGTGRAGGARTGGAGCCAGACAAGGATAGAGTAACATCAATATTAGAGTTAAAAGTGCCAAAGAACAGAAAATAATTGCAGTCTTATTTAGGCATGATAAATTACCTTCGTGGTTTTATTACCAATTTATCTGAGTTAGTTACACCATTTAGGGTGTTATTAAAAAAGGATATTTTATGGGAGTGGGATTTAAATCAACAACACAGTTTTGATCAATTAAAAGAAATATTATGTAATTTGCCTATGTTAAGTAATTTTAATTTAAAAGATTCGTTTGAAATACAGACTGAYGCGTCGGAAAAGGCAGTCGGGTGTTGTATTTTCCAAAATAAGAAACCAGTTCACTCTGCTTCACGTTGTTTAAGTGAAAATTAAATTAACTATGCACAGGTTGAAAAAGAAATGGTAGCAATAGTATTTGCCTGTACCAAGTTTCATTACTTAATTTATGGACAAGATAGGATTAAAGTAAATACTGACCATCAACCACTAGTATCTATTATGAAAAAAGAAATTCATAAAATTCCAAATAATAGGTTAAGGAGGCTAAGAGTAAAATTATTCTATATAGTGTTGATGTTCAATATTTACCTGGTAAATACGTGTATGTAGCAGATTATTTAAGCAGGAATTATATAAAAAGAGAAGTTAAAGGTGATGRATTAGATGATGTGGTTCATACTTTAGATTAAATGAAAATAGAGTTTAAAAATAATAAAGAAAGTGAATTCATTGAATCAACAWAAAAGGATGAGGTATTAGGAAAGGTCCTAGAATTTATGAAGAGAGGGTGGCCAAAGAAATGTAATAGTGAGGGAGAATTAAAATATTATTACAAAATAAAAAATGATTTAATTGTGAATAATGAATWAATATATTATGGTATGAAGTTATTAGTTCCAAATAATCTGAGGAAATATGTTGTTGAAAAGTTGCACGGAACTCATATGGGTATGTCAAAAACTGTAGCTAAAGCAAATCAATTATTTCATTGGCCTGGAACGAAAAGTCAAATTGAAAACTTTATAGGAAACTGTAGGTTATGTTTAAGGTTTAACAATAGTAAGGTAAAAGAACCTATTATTCAACATGATGTCTCAAGTATTCCATTTCAGAAAATAGCTATGGATATAGCAGAGTTTAAAAGCAGAAGTTATCTAGTAATTGAATAGACGCGTCTGAAGAAGCATACGGAGYATGCGTTTACATAAGAACGAGAGGAATCAACGATATACATATATCAAKCGCAGCTCATATGTGCCAAAACTCGTGTAGCGCCGCTAAAGGCAGCGACGATACCACGTCTTGAATTAAATGRGGCATTGCTGTTAGCAGAGCTTGCAAAGAAGGTAGCAGATGCATGGAGGAACAATATACATTCCTTTCAGTTATGGACAGACTCAACAGTCGTACTGGGGTGGCTGAACAGTCACAGCAAACGGCTCAAGACATACGAGTATGTCAAACAGGGTGAGCCAGATACTCGAAATTACCGAACCTTGGCAGTGGAAGCACGTCCGTACTAATGAGAATCCTGCCGACATTGCATCTCGTGGAGTCAAGCCAGCAAAACTCTTGAGGAATACTTTCTGGTGGAATGGACCAGAATGGCTGACCCAAGACGCAGAGCAATGGAGTATCTCAGCCTTACCGGACGAAGAGGAAACATTACCGGAAATAAAACCAGTGCAACTAGCACTTATCTCAATAGATTCATCCAAGAACCTATTACAGTACTACTCAAGTTGGAAAAAACTCGTTCGGGCAATTGCTTTGCTGAATAGATTTGTCGAATTTCGAAGGACGAAGGGAAATGGGACTAATGTGACTAAATATTTGGTGCTATCTGAACTAAGATCAGCAGAGAAAATATTAATCAAACGAGCACAAGCTGGTGAGTTTTCTTTGGAGCTCCTAGCAATGCGTAAACAACGGGAGACTCCCAAATGTAACAAACTCAAGGGATTATGCCCATCACTGCGAACGGATGGCCTAATAGTGGTAGGAGGAAGACTTGAAAAAGCAGACCTTGGCGAGAAGCAGATACACCCAATTGTTCTACCAGCAAAGCATAAGATAATAAGACTAATTTTTGAAGATTATCATCAAACACTCCTCCACTGTGGACCGCAAATGCTACTAGCAGAAGTTAGACGATGTTATTGGCCTTTAAGGGGTAGGATAATGGCTCGCTCTACAGTAACACGCTGTATCAATTGCGTTCGTGCGAGACCAAGATTTGAAAACCCGCTTATGGACCCTTTGCCAAAACAAAGAGTGCAAATGTCCCGCCCATTCACCGTAACTGGTGTAGATTTTGCAGGGCCATTACAAATTCAAAGTGGTATACGTCGTGTTACAACAAAAAAGGCATGGATAGCGGTGTTTGTATGCTTTTCTACGAGAGCTATACACCTAGAACCCGTCGTAGGCTTAACAAGCGAAGCCTTCCTTGCAGCCTTACGTAGTTACGTAGGTTTATGGTGAGACGTGGAAAAAGCACCAAGATTTACAGCGATAATGCAACAAACTTTGTGGGCGTGCAAAAAGAGCTGAGGGCATACTTAGAAGACAGTGAAAGGTACATGGCTGACGAAGGAGTTCAATGGCATTTTAATCCACCATCAGCACCACATTTCGGTGGCCTTTGGGAAAATGCTGTAAAGAGTACTAAGCATCACTTATATCGGGTAATCAAGGATAGTCGGCTGAATCTGGAAGAGTTACAAACATTGTTATGCCAGATTGAGGCGTGTGTCAACTCACGGCCTATGACACCACTAAGTAGTGACCCAGGAGAACCCAACGCCCTCACACCAGCTCACTTTCTCATCGGGAGTCCACTGCTCCTACCACCCGAACCTGAAATACCAAGTGAGATAGTTAGCAATCTCCGCCGCTGGAAACACGCACAAGGATTTATGCAGATATTCTGGAAACGCTGGCATAAGGAGTATCTACCTCAGTTCCAGGTTCGAGGACGATGGGTTACACCCAGAAAAAACATGAACGTAGACGACATAGTAGTTATAAAGGAAGACTGCACACCACCTACGAAATGGAAACTAGGACGCATAACGCAAGTACACCCAAGTAACGATGGAATAGTCAGAGTGGTTACCCTACGGACGTCCACTCAAGTAGAAGTGCGCCGACCAGTCGCAAAGTTATGCCAACTGCCAACAGATGCCGAGGTCCAAGTTGAAACCCATCACTTTCAACGGGGGGAGAATGTAGCCGCCGCGACAATTTGATAGTAGCGCTCATTAATGAGTAGTAATTACTATAGATATCTCACCGCCGTACCATACACACACAAGATATCTCAATTTATTTTTGTATTATTGTTTCTGTTTTAATTATCGTGTATTATGTAATATGTAGACTACGTGCGATCGGCCGCCGCTGTTAATCGAATATAGTTAGCACGGCCGCCCAACCAAGCTAGTCCAGTTCCAGTGTGTAAACGATAAGCACAACAGTTTTCTTATGCCACGCGCGCAAATCGCCGTAAAAATATTATATTTTTCGTGTCGGCGCGAATCGCCACATTTTTTTTTATATTGTGTAAGGCGCTAATCGCCATCCTTTTATATTTTGTGTGGGCGCGAATCACCACATTTATTTTTTATTATTACTTTTGTGTGAGCGCGAATCGCCACATTTATTATATTATATTTTGTGTGGGCGCGAATCGTCACAATTATTAATTATTATTATTATTATTATTATTATATTTATTTTCCAGTTTCTGTGTGTGTGTGCAATCATTTATATAGGCTAGGTTGTGGCGGTCCTGGACGGATACCGCGTGAGTCAGTGGTGTCACTAGTGTAGGGAGTGGTGAAAAGAAAAACACAAACAGTTCGCGGTATAAT